CTTTGAGACGTTCACCACCTGTACAGGAGGCTATGCAGAAGAAAAATGCGACAGTGCTAGCACCAAACAAACACCAAAATTGATATAAAATACAATGCATTTAACGAGTTGATCAATTTGATTCCTTCGGAGAAATATTCCGTGTAAGGTTTCCGCAGCTATAACGCACTGAATGCTTTCTAATTGCAGAACGCATATTATCGGCGGCCTGCGGCATTGTATCACTCACCAAATGAAGAGATAATGGAAGCATGAGCAAAAACATCCATAAATACAGGTGACATGAATTGTTGAATTTATTCTGCTCTGGATCATGATACCATCCTCCGGTCAGTGAAGCCCAGACTCCTTGGCGTAGCGTTTGCACAACTTGAGAGCCCATATTTTTGCAATAATGGTCGCTACAGATATATCATGCTGCAAGCTGCGAATTCACACCGCTACCGTCCTCGACTCGCTACCCCTGCGCGCGATTACATATTTACAGAAGCTGCCTCTACATCCTTCCTTGAAGCCGTTTACTTTTCTTTTTCATCGTCCACGCCTTGGCTCCCTGTTTCCCAGCATAGGGACATTGGTTTTGTGCGGTGAAAGGCACCTAGCAGCATCCTCCTGCGCCAGGCAGCTTCACATGAGCGGAGAGGAGGGAGGAAGGGACTGATTCATAGCGATGCTCTGCTGCTCACTGAGTCACGCGCCCCCTCCCTGCGCTGCCAGTCCAAACAGAAGAGCCGTGGAGAATCAGCTGTACTACACTGCAGCCAGACAAGCGGGACAGCGAGAGATAGCAGTTCATTTGGACACGCATGCCAACATTTTAAGTCAGTCAAATTCAAATATTGATTACCGCAATAAAAATGCACAATAGACAAATAGACATATATGCATTTTATGAGACGTGGGGTGTAAACTTTTTTAATTGGATGATCAGGGTAAATTGTACTTATTTTGTCTTTTGGGAAACATGTAAGTATTTATGTAGGTATTGAAGTCCAGTACTAAATGAAAAAAATATGAGAAGATTTACACATCATCATCCTGTTCAAAAGTTTACATTCCCCAGCTCTTAATGCATTGTGTTGCCTTCTTGAGCGTCAGTAAATGTTTTCACCTTTTGTAATAGTTGTGTATGAGTTAGTTGTCCTCAGTGTGAAAATATGGATCTCAAAATCATACAGTCACTTTTGGAAAGGGATCAAATATGACAGTTGAACTGCTCAGGACCAACAAGGGACTCATGGACAACTATCACAAAATATATAAAAACAGTCGTGGATCATCCAGGAAATGACACATAGTATTAAGATTCACTTTTGAATGGGTTGAATGGGGTCATTTATTTAAATTCAGTTATTATTTTGTCTTGTGGAGTATATGTAAACATCTGTTATGTGAAATAGCTTATTCAGGACAGTACTAAATAAAAAATAGCATGCAATTTACGTGATCCTCTCTTATTTCGTTTCAATTGTTAACATTTTGCACATTCTGCAAGGGGTATGTAAACTTATGAGCACATCTGTGTGTATATATATATATGTGTGCGTGTGTGTGTGTGTACTTGTTTATGCTACATTATGTACATCCTACATACATAGGATTGTAAAACCTGAAATTTTTGACATTGTGGGGACCGGCCTGCGGTCTCAAATAAATTATTAAAAATAGTAAATTATGTTTATCTGAAAGTGTAACAATGCAAACAGGTTTTCTGTAAGGGGTGGGTTTAGGGTTAGGGTTAGGGTTGGGTTAGGGCAGTGGTTCTCAAACCTGTCCTGGAGTACCCCACAGCCCTGCATGTTTTGTATGTCTCCCTCATCTATTACACCTGATTCAACTCATCAGCTCATTAGAGGAGACTGCAAGACCTGAAGTGGGTGTATCAGATACAGGGAGACATACAAAATGTGCAGTATTGGGGGTACTTCATGGAGAGGTTTGAAAACCACTGGGTTAGGGGATAGAAAATATCGTTTGGTCAGTATAAAAGTCAAGTCAAGTCACCTTTATTTATATAGCGCTTTTAACAATACAGATTGTGTCAAAGCAACTGAACAGCATTAATTAGGAAAATAGTGTCAATAATGCAAAGTGACAATAGTAAACACTCATTTTTCAGTTAAAGACAGTTCATCATTGAATTCTGTGATGTCAACATCCAGCTCAGTTTAAATAATATCTTTGCAATCATGTCAACGATATCGCTGGAAATGAAGTGTCCCCAACTAAGCAAGCCAGAGGCGACAGCGGCAAGGAACCAAAACGCCATCGGTGACAGAATGGA